ATGTTTATCATCTAAGCAGGAATTTTGAACTTTTTAATTATGAGCCAATTTTGGAATCTATTAAAAGCAAATTCTAATGTTAGACCTTAGTTACACTTCCCACTCTTCCATATAATTGCAGGTAGTTAACAACATTCATACCGTTGATGATGTGTGCCTGAGATTTTCGCAAAATCGACGATAAATGAAATATACTTGCATTGTGTAGTAACGATAATGTAAAACCTCGATAGAATAAAAGTTAACAAAAAAAAAAAAAAAAAAAATGCGATGTTTTTCGATTTGACAAAGCGTATGCAAAAAATGTCAATATGTGACAAAACTACTACTGAGTAAAAGGCGGGTACATTTTTTATACCTCTATAGATATCAAAGTAATTTTAACATACTAGCGATAGCAGTTCATTGACGAAACGTCTGAATGCCTGGATGACTTGCTTGCATCACTAGCACAGAGACACTTGCAACTAAACTTTTTTTTTTGCATTTTCTACTTTTTTCCCTTACGCAATAATGGATCCCTAAGGGATTTGAAATTTTGCATTTTTTTTTTTTTCTTGGTTTTTTTTCTCATATAATTCCATAAGATGGCATCCTCCCTCCCTTCCATGCTTATTCCTTGCCTGTTCTCGCAGAAGAAACAGAAAGATAACACATATTGTGGTAACAACAACAAACAGGGTGGGGGAGTTTGCTGGTTTGCGAAGGTTCAAAATAAATAGGAGCCATACGCAATACATATATTTAGATAATTCACACTTGTATGATGGTTAAGGGAAACTTTTTCTTTTAAAATTTATGCTGATTGTTGTTAGCTGTTGTAGTATAATAGTTCTTTTTTTTTTCGATACTTTTCCAATATATATATATATATATATATGTATATAAATAAGCAAAAATTCTTGTTGATTTTTATATGGTTTGCAAAATAAAATATAAATTCTGAATGTGAGTCAACCATTTGCATGTCGTGTATGTGCATGTATTGAGAGAATCTCTCAATGTCATAAAGTTCGTTTTTCAATTTCTTAAGAAAACTTCTTAAATCTCAATCAAGAAAAACCATGAAATCCGTAATACAATTACAATAACTAATGTTAATGATTAATGCTTGTACATATATACGTGCTTATGTCAAAGGTATATAATATTTCATTTAAATTCATAGAAATCATTGAGAAGACATCACACACCGTATTTGATACTTGACATGTAAGTAACTTCTAGGGCATAAAAGCGATTGCTTTTCGTAATCATTCCGGTGTTGATTTACATCTTCAAAGATTTATATCTCATAAGCTCTTTCTGACTTATCCTTCATATTAGACGTCGTTTCAAGAAACATCAATAAAAAAATAAAAAAAATGGAAATTTTAATGGAAAACTCAGCTGAAAACGGGGAGAGAAATAATCAAGAATCGCAGCTGAATTCTGACAATCAATTACTAGAGAGCAGAGCAGCTATAAAATAATTGAAAAACATATATAAGATAGAAAAATTTTCCCGTCAACCGACATATATATATCCGTTGGAATTAAATATTTTCTTAAATAGCTTTAGTAAGTATGGGCGTCAATGCTCCTCTTGCTTGCTCTTTCAATCATGTGCTCAGCGTGAACGAGAAATTTTCTGATATTTTGCTCATTTTTAGAAATATTCAGCTACAAGACAAAATTCCATCACTCGATGTTAAGAAGATTAGGATTAGGATTAGGATAGGAGTCTAAAAAGAAAAAAGATTTGTTTAGGAAACGAAGAAAGGAAAGGAAAGCTTGGGACAGACATGTGCAAAAGCTTAGCCAGGAATTTATGCAATAATATCGTTCAACGACATATATATAAAGGCGAGAATCGCGCGTAATGAATCATTATTAAGCCAGCATAGCTAGCAATGTGAGGCATGGCTGGTCAAACTGAAAACACAACTATATGCGAGGAACAGGAACGATTTGCATGACGTGTAATAAGTGAGATATGCTTTGTATACTGCAAGTATAACAAAAATTTCATATTTTAATTAATTTTGTTAGTTATATAACCGAAACATTGCTATCATTATGTTGCAGAGCAAACGTCAACTGAAGCGTAAGGCCGTTCTATTCATGTTCAGGAGAAGCAATTTTGACTTCAAACGCTATTTAAAGTTTATTAATACACTGCCACGGAGTTGCTAATAGGCTAGGCTTTCCTCGCCTGAATTATTATTAATGTTAATCTCACACACACACACACACAGACCCTCTTACTTATGTAGATTTCACTTACTTGCTGCTTTTGCTTCTACCCGCTAATAGAATAAAGAGAAAATCAAAATGATTGCCTTGGCATATTTTAATTTCCAGTTTTTATTACCCCATAAGCGGAAAATGTGAATATACTACCTTTGTCGAAATGTTTGCGACAATTGGAAAAAAGCTTGAGAGACTCTATAGAGAGCTTATGCATATCTTGATCAAATTTTGAATATATTCAAAGATGTCCATCACACCCCTCCCATCCGTATATGGCCTCGTTTGCTGTAATCATTTTCAAATTTTTTTATATAAAAACCTCTCAAGCGATGATGCCCTGATGGATACGTGTATTACGGCGAAGGTCATAAAAAAGTAAGGAAGAAAACATATAGGGAAATATGTTGTTCTTGATCGGTAAATGTTAAGGTTTTACTGGACGGGCGCCCCCATTGCAGCTGCAAGCACCCATCAATGGTTTACCGTGCGCTAGAGCTAGAGCTCGAACCAGGGTATACGCACCTGATAGTCACCTTTCTTAGCTACTTCTTGACTACATGTTAGCCATAGAAATTAGAAAGCGGAAAATCAATCGAAAGATGCTCTAACTGACAATACATCGTGTTTTCAAAAGCAAGAGCATAACTATTTACTCCACGATAGGAATAGGGCTTTCCACGTATAGTGTATTCCACTCACAAAATATTGAAATTTAATTTCTTCGATAAAGTTGGCGAGTGTTAGAAGATTCGTTTATGAACGAATATGATTTTCTTACTTGTTTCGCTCTTCATTAAAGCAACTTTGCCTAAACAAATTTTTTTAAACACTTTGTACATTGTACGTTGCACAGTCTCCTTCACTCTCTCTTCTTCTTCTTCTTCTATGTTATTGTCAAATTTGTCAGTTCGAAGAGTGTTCCTGCAGCTTGTTATTTAAATGTCTAAATGTTTGGTTAGCTGCTGTTTGTTGTCTGCATGACAGTCTGCTGGTCTGGTTTCTTTGCTATTGTGTTACACAACCGAGGGATATACATACTGTATGAGAGTTATATAATTTTACAACTACAAAACAATAACTGTGTTAGTATGCAAAAGTTTTTGAATGGATGATGATAGATGATACTGTTGTCTCTGTTAATATATGCAGCAATCTAACTTACTTCTAATGCTAGTACTAGTTTGCTCTCACTATTTCCATTTCTACGATTCTAAAACACGCATAGATTATTACACAAGTCACTTTTTCCTGTAAAGTACTTTAAAATTTTATCTTGTATTTTAATTGTAGTTGTTCTCACTAAACGATACTACATGAAATAACAAAAGTGAACTGTTTTTGTTCTGATTTGTATACTTTTTTTTCTTGCTAGCGTTTCGGTTTCGGTTTCTTTGTGCGTACAGCCATGTAGACATAAACGGCGCACGCCTCGCCATGAGAAATAAACGTAAAGATTTACCACAAGAGGTTTATAAAAAAAAAAAAAATAAATAAAAAAAAATTTACTTTTGTTTTTTTTTTTTTAAACTATGTGATTATATAAATGGTTTTGTAATCATCAATATAAAAAGAAACAATCGAAAAAGATACAAAAATTGTCCAGATATGCTGGAGGAAGTAGCTTAAGTTCCATATCTGAAAAACTGCTAAGGTAAAGTAATAGAACCTAATAATGAAAGGGTAACGCCTTCCCCTTTTTTACATTTTTCATAGTGTAACCTGCACAGTTCCGTCTCTGCCGCCCACCATCTTTATGGTAATCTTCTGATATATTTTCTTTGATAAGCTGCCTGCAAAACTTCCGAGAATTCTCATCGTTAACTATAAAAACTTTTCTTGCCAAAGCTTGACTTTGTTGAGATTGAAAACGAAAACTCTTCCTCTTCACTTGACGAACGCTCTTCTCTCTAGAAGTAGATATCATTTATGAGAGTCCACTTTATTGACTTAGAGACCTAAATATATATGCACCCATTGCATGTTGTGAAGCGTTCAAACCCTGGCATGAATCCATTTTACCTTCTCTTCTCTTACGGGGGCCGTGTGTTTAATAACAAGAAAAGCCTTCCACGACACCGCTAGCTTTAGCGTTTTTGTGAATGTTGGACGTCTTTGGTTTTGCACAATTAATTGCATTCTTCTTCATTAATCTTATGCCTTTGGAAGCCTATTTCCGAGACACTACTTATCAAAAATTAAAACTGACGGTCGACGCGTCCCGCGTGCGGAAATTGTTTCTCTTCCCTTTGTGCCCTGCATACACTTAAGGCGACAATAAGAGAAGCAGCCGAAAATTTTTTTAATGAAATTTATCCTTTGTAGCAGTGTATGGCCGCAAGTAAGAACACAATCCTTTAATCGTTTAGCTGAAAGGCGCCTAAGAAAGCTGTGTTTGAAATTTGTGCTATTTGTTTGACCATGGCTGTGTTTGTGTCTCCACATTGAAATGGTGACTGTTGAACAACATCTAAAAGCAACTGCCAGCCATTAAGGTTGTTGCACGTCTAACAATAATGGTGTCCTCCCTTTTTCTTTGCCAACTTGCGTACACAAGTAGACACAAGTAGATAATAACGATGAAAGTAACATTAAGTGACAAACACATTATATATATATATATATACGACTTGAATGCAACGGAGAGGAGGAGGAGGAGGAGCAGGGGGTCTATGCCTTTCTTAATTCATTCCTTTTTGTGTTTGTCGCACACAGCGCGGTATTGGCGGTTTATTCTATAATGTTATGTAAGTTAAAATGTTACTACTTACCACTGTTATGGGATAGAATGGATTTATGATGGTAAACAATAGAATATGATTTGGCCGCGTAGTTTCCGGGCGTTTTCTGCGAAGGTCATCATTTGATTTGTTCAGTAGTGCTTGCTGTTGACTTTGCTGTTGCACTGCCTGCAAATAATAAAAAAAAAGGAAAAATTTGAAAATTTAAAAAAAAAAAGAGTTCAGTTTTTGTCTTCCAAATGATTTAAGTAAATTATGTGAAGCCTGGGATCATATCCAAATTTGAACATTCAACCGCTGAGAGAAAACTACCTTATCTTACTTATCTCAATGACAGAAAACAGTTGATAGGTAATTTAGGAATCGACCCAAGTTTCAGAAATTCTTTAAAATAATTGCGGTACTACTTGTCGGATGGTGGATGATGATTAAAGGGAAGGGACGTCTGTATTGCGAGTGATTTGTGACGCTTTATATATCATCAAAAGAGGTTTTACTTGCATATATTCTCTGCTTCTTATAAGAATTTGGAAGCTGGAGAGCAAATTGAATAGAGTACTGTTGCTCGCCTTTAGTCATTTTACCCCAGGCCAGCCAAGAGCTGACCCTATCTGATATCGTCTGACGGCATTCTACTCCCTTGACACAATCTCTCCACAAAACCGCACTAACCAGCAGATCATTTCCAATAAGATTCGATGATGAACACTCCCTCTCCCCCTTCACCGACCCTCGCATGTCATATTCTCTTTTTACGCAACAGGCGACATTCATTTGCAGATGACTGACAAACCGGCAGAGTTCACAAGTATTCGATCGTTTCGTTGCTTGCCACGCTGTCGGCAAATATACTTATTTCTCTTCGCATTCTTCCCGCATCAATGACGGCACTTTGTACCGCAATGTGATGGCCTACACTCGACCAGCAGAATTGCATTTCACACCTGTCCGTGTTGATCAGTAAAACAGTTTCTGCAATATTTCATGAATAAACACTATTGACCGTGTAGCCAGGTCTTGTTTGCAGTTAGCTTCACTGAATATGTATGTAATGCTTTTAAGACTTATGCTATCACAGGTTTCCATATCATATATATATTCATTGCACCACATCATTGCACCATGGTATTATAATTCAAAAATCACATTCCTATATATATATATATACCGATGCAGACAAATGTAATACAACAAGTAAGTGGTGGCCGAATTTTTCATATCCACTATCTTTATTTAAAAAATCGGAAAAATAAAACTTAAGTAGGCGTGGCCTACTAATAATACTAATACTGAAACGATATACAGAGATCGTACATGATGGAAATCTTTATCGTTTTTTCTATTGTAGAGTATCAGGAAGTGGGCGAAAAAGACCAGGCAGAAAACAGAAGCCTTCCCAGTCTACTTCAGGCCATTTTCAATTCCAATATGTATGTAGTAACAAGTTTATTTCCTAATTTTTGCGAATAGGAGAATATTGTCTACATACAGACATACGATAATGTTTACATCGAGATTTGGAATGTGATACTAAATGTGATCCTCGCTCCTTCTGATTGTTACAAATGATTTCACAAAACGAATATATTCTCATCCTTTGCTGGTGGGTATAAAAAATCTCCTGACATGTCTGTGTTGTGATCTTTATTAACAAGTGACAGCAATTACAAGAACCAACGTCGCTAGCTAGTGAAAAAACAACAACAACTGCTAAATATTATATTTGCTGCTAATTAACGGAAATTGTTTCATTTTGCAGATTTTTTTTTTTTTTTTTTTTTTTTTTTTGCAATACTTCAACAACATGTTCTTATTATGTCGTAATTATGCCGACAAAAAACTCTTTTAATTGGAGCACCTGTCTGGTTGGTTAGTGGTCGTCGGAAGGCAGTATTGTGCAAGAAAACTTAATGATATGTGTAATTAAGTTATTGACACCGTTATCGTCATCATCGCTATATCGCCCGATAAAAGCGGATATGAAAGATTTTGAATTTTTTCATTACAACATCATGCGAACTAATAGCTTTTTCCATTCAGTTTAGTAAAGACGTAAAAACGTAACCTCTGTGAAACATCACTGGAATTAGTAGCTTCTTTAGTTTAGTTGTTTGTATTGTGTAAAGTAAAGTAGAGTGAGTTTAATTTTTACCCTTTGCAGATCTATTTTATTAGTAAACAAAAGTGTTGACTGCATAGGTATTTTTCGAATTCTATTTCAAATGTCTGAGGTAAAAATCGAAAAACCATTATTCTTGCATATGAACAGAACAAAATAAGATTCTAAAGCCAAGTTTCAGTTTCAACGTCTTCTGTCTGCCTGTCTGTTAGTTACTTTTGGATAACTCGAAAAAATTCATGTTGAAAATCTTTGGCGATGGCCGCACACTCAAGAAATCAAACGGAGGACATAAGGACGGAAGGAGGATAAAAACGCAAGGAAAGCCTGTTAACCATATGTGACAGTGTCGCGTAAACTTTTCGACACAAGTGTAGTAAGCACGGAAAGATGCTTCTTATAATAAAGAAAACATTGAGAACCAGAAACAATGCGAATGAGGATTTTATAAAGGATCAGTTCTAAAGCTCTGTCGCGCCCACAAATCAAGTTAAGTTACAAGTTATCAGAGTTTGCTTAGATATTCAATCTGCTAAATGACATTCGCTTGACAAAGTCAACAAGACTTTCCCCGGCGCATTGCAGCTCACTCAGGCTGATGAGAGCAAGTAAAAGCGACAACCCTGAATATGGCTCATTAACGCTAATATAATTATTGTTGACGATAATTATTGCTGCGAATGATTGGCATTACTTCAAGACTGAGTGATATCTCCTCTTAATACGCTATCAAGTCAGATGATTTGTGATGAGACAAGTGAGATGAAGCGAATTCCCAAAAATCAATTATATAACACTTAATATCATGATAAACGTATGTATGTTTTCATGCGGTTTGGTAACCCTGACTTATCCAATTTGGTCGCATAAGAGGCATTTCCTGTAGAAACAATGAACTATTTAATAACTGTTCCCAACTTCGATAAACGCACCTCGGAAAACGCATGGATCGGAAAAAAAGTCATGCGTAATGCAAAAGGACGGGAAAGATCATTGTAGTAGGGTGGTTTGTGTCAAGGGCGAACCGAATGAAAGTAAAAAATGGAGAGACATGTGTGTCATACGAGGATCTCCTAGGCGCTAAAAGAGCTACACTAAAGAACTGGGCTGATGGTCAATAAAGGTACATGCACACGAACACAACAACATTGCGCACATTAGGCCGACGCCCAAGGCTTGCTGTACTCATGGGCACTATTGTCGCCCATCTGAGTCGTTTACAGTGCGAATTCGATAGCGTTCGAAACATGACCTGAGTGTTCCCGCCCAAGAAGTTTGATTGCACTACCCTTATCTTGGCTATATGTAGGCAGTGATGCCGATGATATCGATTGTAGCAAAGTACATTTTGCCTCGCTTTCAGAACCCTATTAAAATCTTATTCTCACATGTTAGTCATTAATTTTATACAAATCCATGACATTCTCGACTACGTTATAATTAACTCTCGTTTTGGTTTTCTAAAGCCAATCTTAATATGACATTGTCGTAATTACACAAAATGTCGAGCCATATCGAAGCGCAAGTGAAGGAAGAGTAAAGAAAAGCAAGTAAATGTTGTAATTATAACGAAAAAAAATATAATATGAGCATAACAGATAATTAATGCGAATTTTTTTTTTTTTTTTTTTTTTACGAATGAAAGAAAGGAATGAAAGGAGAAAAAAATTAAAAACTCTGGCACTGTCGATCAGAATACCAATAGCAAGCAAGCATATAATTAATAACTGCAAGGGTTATGAGTGAGCACGGGAACTAAGAGCAAAAAATAGGAAAAAGAGGTCAATCAGTTTATCCAAGTAAAGGTGAGTAGTAATAGTAGTAGTTGTAGTAGTAGTAGTAGTAGTAGTAGTGGAAAAGCTACACAGCTGCTGATGGCCGTACAACAAGCTGAAGAGATTTTTTTGGCCAAAGCTTGGAAATATTTAATGAAGAAAAAGTATGCGAAGGGGGGAGGAAAAAAAGGGTAAAGTGCGCATGAAGAACAACAAGAACAAGAACAAGAAAACAATTTAAATCTTTTCGATGAATGGAAATGACATTTACAGCGATTGTGAGTAAGCTTTGCTTCTTTGTTTTTCTTTTCATTTTGCAAAGTCATGTTGTTGGGTGAAAATTTTTTGGCCACTTGCCCTAAAAGATTTGGCCGATGACTATTAATTATTTTTATAGAAAACAATGGGAAAAAAAGCGAGAGAAAAAATAAAAATCATTTATAATAAAAAATATGGATTTAATTTGTTTTTTATTAAAAAGAAATTTCATGATAATGACAAACGGAAGTTTATTAAACGAATTTTTATTTCTTCTACATTCGAAACATATACACATCACAGACACACATACTTGTGCAAACAAAATTTCAAATTTCTCTAATTTCTTTGCTTTGCCCATTTCAAGTGGACGCTAAGCGCTATTTGCTGCCACCGACAACCAGGCACGACTGACGCTTATGTTGTTCGCTACTGTTGTTAATAATCGCACACACACATACACATGTACACGCACACCCACATACACATATACACAAAATTCATAAAAGATTTTAATTGCAGTATTTAATGGATAATAATTGGAAAGAAAAGAAGCGAAGAGAACAAGAATTAGGTTACAATAGACGAAGAAACACCACTTGACATGAACTATAAACAACAATCCGTCGAGCAATATGTAACAAAACCTTCCGTAGAACAATTAAACAGTAAATGTATAGTTATTTCGTTCTCAGCCGCATTATACGATGATTAATACAACAACAACAACAACAACGAAAAAAATCACTTGAAATTGTTGAGAGCATCTGGATAGATAACCAAGCGATCAAAAAAAAACATATGCATGGAAAGCAAAAATATTTCAATGTCATGTTAGGCGAACTTGTTCGTCATCTCTTACATCAAAACATTACTCAGCAATATATGAGAGGATTTTTATTTACAAAAAAAAAAAAAAACAAATCGCCAAGAATTGTCGTAATCCATATATCACCTTTATGAGGCGACGATGCGATGAAGGTGAATTCCTCCCACACAGACGCACAAATGTAAAT